GGACCAAGGTTTAAGGGGGGGGTGTGGGGGGGTACTCAAAGTCGTGCATGCCGTAGTCGTTAGACCGTTGACCTCGCATCCCTACAAAGCCGGGATGGGGCATGCCGGGTTCTCACCGGACCAGGCTCTCACATCACCAACCGCGAAGCGCCGTTAAGGGGGGGGGGGTACGTAAACTGCCCGTCTCGTCGTTTGTGTTGGTACATCGCGCTTTACAAACAGCCACAGTATGATCGTTGCTCTTTAGACTGATGACGCAGTATTATTCATTCTTCCGGCCTGGTAGCGTCAAGAGGGGGCAGGCAGCGGGGGTCCATACATGGTGCATTGCTTCTACACACAGCCAAGTTTTGGGTGGCAACTGCTCTTTAGACTAATGTTCTGATGATGATGCAGTACCCTCGTGGAGACAGCTCCGATTTCGAACGTGACGTGCGTTACTGCTGCTAGGCGAGAGGGGTGACCGGGATGAGCCCTTACAAACGTGCAGGCATGCGCTGCACAGGAAATCTCTTCTGCGGGACCCCCTCTCATCGAAACTACTCGGGTCAGACACGGTACTTACTTATCAGCGTACGTTGACACCTACACTGTTGGTAAAAACGTGGAAGCTAGCTAGCATGGGCGTTGCCGGCCTATGCATACGAACGTCAGTGTAGATCCGCGACGTCGGTATCACATGACGGGCGCTGAAACCTCCCCTTGGCCCCTTCACGCGACAGTCAACGCCCTTTTCTTCGCAACGGTGTCGAAGCTGTGAAGGACGTCAGATAAGCCTAGGCCGTTTTCTTTTGAAGCGGCTGAGAGACCCAGCGACGAGCCAATCGCTCGGAACAATCGAGCGTCGACAACGGTTCGCCGCAACCGGCGTGGTGATGGCCGCAGGGAGAAGCCATACACGATGCACGATGCACATACCTGGATTGTCTGCCTGATGGGCTAGGCCCCTTGGTTGCCACGCTGAGGGACAGCGTGTCGGCAATAACGCCATCTAGCCCTTTGATAACGCGCTTGCCCCCCTGGACCTGTCGACGAGACAATGTGATCAGAGGAAGAAGAGAAACAAGAAAAACGATTTGTCATAGAACAAGGTAAGAAATACGAAGTGTAGGAGAAACGACATGTACGACATGAGAGAAACCATAAAAAAGACATTAAACAGGAGAAACGACATCTTGAAGGGTACGGGATACGATGCAAGACCCTGTACATCCGCTGCTTTGGGCATGGTAGGGTCGGTCAGCGTTGTAATGCTAAGCATATTCATTGCTAGTTAATCCCGGACTCCAGTAACAGAACAACACCGCACGCTAAAGTTGTAAGATGGCCGAGCCCTGCCATGACACCCAACACAACCAACCAAAGCCCGTTAACCTTGACCTGTGATACAGTCACCGAGTGGACACAATCGCATTCGTACCTGTTGCGGCGGGAATGATCGGTAGGGGGTGATCGGCATCTGCATCTCGAATTGCTCATCGAGGACACTCTGCCATTCTTTTCGCCCCAGTTCGCACCGACCGCGGTACTCCAGGAAAGTCAGGAGCACCTGTACATACAGACGGACAAAGGAGAGAAAAATAAAAAACAGCAAATATGCACTAATCTCTGTCAGTACTCCAGGAAAGTCAGGCACCTGTACATACACACGGACACAAAAGAGAAAAATAAAAAAGAGCAAATATATACTTCTAATCTCCGTCAGTACTCGAGGAAAGTCAGGAGAACATGTACCTCACACGGACACAACAACAAGTGAAGACCAAATGAACACAAAAAATCGTGTACAGACAGGTAGCTTTCGCTGACGCTATGACTTCAGTTAATCTATCTTCGACTCTTTCCTATAGATGAGAGAGATGGATTCTTTGTGTCATAATAATAAGAAAACAAAATCGGACATGCCGGCAGCGTAAACAAAATAACAGCGTACATAACAGCGAATGCTGTGATGTTCGGAACAAAACAATACAAACCAAAACAAAACTGTGGCCACGCCGCCAGCAAATAACACAGCACGATTGCGCTTCAGTGAGATAGAGCACCTTTGGTATGCGCCTTTTGTACACACCTCACATTTTCCGGTCTGTCTCACAACGTTAGGATTACGTTACTGTACATGACACAATGCATCCCCTGGACCGAGGGTAAAAAAGCTCGATTTATAAAAAGCAGAAAGAGTCGCAGCGCCAAAAGAAGGGCGCCGTTGAAGCCGTCTGGTCGAGAGCTCTCCGAAAACCCGTCATTTCTTTTATGCATCCTCTTGGTCGTGGAGTAATCGAGCATTGAAAATAGGTCCAGGGGGTGTGGTATCTTGTGTCATATACCGTAGGTTGGGATTGTTTGGGTACTGCTGTAGGGCTGAGACCGAACTCTACGGCAAGTCCTCCATAAAAAAATGGTTGGGTATGAACAGCTGCACATCAACATTCATCTGTCCGGTGGGTTTCACGTGTGTGCTGATTCATAGCTGTCGGCAACACACGCGACACCATCCTCTCCGTCCTATCCTACAGGCTGAGAAGGCCAAGTCCGGCCAGACCGAGACGCAAGATCATGTTTCCCGACTCCACCACCCTCAACCAAGCAACATGTGTCGGTCTGGTCGTGCTTTGGAACACGGGGTACACGTCTGCTATCTGATGCACGCTGCTGCCGTAGTCCAATGCTTATCCCTTCCCTTCCGAGGCATGAGTGAACCGGACCGTAATGTAGGTGTACAGATTGTTTCTTTGTGCGTTGCACAAACAGCGGCGGTACGCTGCCCACGGCAGCAAAATGTTATTGGTGTGCATGACAGATACAGGAGGAGAACGCGGCAACAACAACAACGGCAGGCAGTAGCAGCGGCAGCGGTAGCAACACAGCAGGCGCCACGCTCAAACAAGCCAACCAAGCCTCCATCCCATGTACCATCCTCTCATGTGAACCACCATCTCATCATCACGTACCTGGTACCAGGTATCATCTCATGTGAACCATCATCCCACTTATCAATAAGTACCAGGTATCATCTCATGCGATGTCATCCATTCAACCCGTCCCACCTGCAAGCGTATTTCCCTCAGCGAAGCTACTCTCCTCGCCTCCGCCCTCTGGTCCATCTCTTCCCGCTCCCTGCCCGAAACCAGCTCCTCCACCTGCAACACAACACGCAACGCGCAACGTAGTCGGCGCAGTTGACACGTACAACAGTGTCGGGGGGGGGGCATCAACAAGAAACATCGGCCTCGGGTCAGGCTTGAGCGAAGCGCGAGATTCTATCCCCAGCGGCAACCCCAACTATCCACATCGTCCCGATTGTACTGCTCTATCTGATGATTGCACTGTCGTGGACTTTTTTCATGCGCGAGACACAGAACGATGCAGTGTACGATACGAGAACGTCGTAAAACGATCCAGATGTCCAAAGTCGCGAGTCGCAGATAGAGGACGGACCGTACACAGAACCACCACCAACCACGGTCGGCTGTGCAGTGTAACGTAATACAACGCAGTAGAGCGCACCACTCGAGGGCGGCCGAATAGTCAGATTGGGCGGTATGGAGTGGCTCGCCCTAGGGGAAAGAGGCGAGAGCCCATAGCCATCCCTGCTGTAGCGTAAAGTTAGTTGATTTTCTCGCACGGTGGCCACATACGGTTTTAGTCGCCGAGAGGGAGGGGGAAGCGTGAGAACAATAACATACAGATTGTTGCACAAGACGGCCACCAAACTGTCTCGTTGAGCCTGTTACCCACAGGAGAGATATCGCCGTGTGCTGCTCGGGAAATCGTGGAAATACAGGTAGCCTTCGCTGACGCTATGGATTCATTGCTAATCTATCTTAAACTCTTTTAAATGGATAGAGATGGATTCGTCGTGTCATTGCAAGAAAATAAATACTTCAGTATAAAATATCTGACCAGACCACTGCTGTGGATCTGAGGGGGTATGAACGTTGAACTGGGGAACAAACAAAAGAAGTCGCTATTGGCCTTGATTGGGGAGTCTAGTTTTTCGCGGCCAAATGGGCTACGCTGTACCTTCGCCTCCACCTTCAAGATGGCGGCGTAATCACGCTGACACCATTTTTTTCCTCCGTCAGGCAATAAATAGAAATACGTTTTGCTCATCGTCTGGAAGGGTTTAGTAAGGTAAGCTACAGTAGCAGCAGCGGATTTGACACAAAAAGAGCAAAACACTCGACAAGCAGCTCTTACAGCAGTAGTCAAACACTGGCCAAGAAGTAAAATTTCCGGCAAATAACGGTAAAAATAAGGGAGGAACAGGGCAAGAGCAAGCCCCCCCCTCACACGCACACACAGGGAGAGTCCATTGCTCTACCATATACTGTACGCGGACGATGAGCTTTGCGTGACCAAAAATGCCCTGAAGAACCAAGCATGAAGAAGCTAAGATATCTCGAGCCCCGGGCGGCGGGGGGGGGTCTCTTGATGTGTATACACTATCACGCCAAAGCCACTCCACGCCCTGTGGGATCATGAGAAGATCTCGAAGACTGACTTTACGTCCACAGACGATCTCGAAGACTGACTTTACGTCCACAGACGATGTTGTAACCACATGCAGAATCACATGGAAGACACTGGCAGTATAAACTTTTGTCCCTGTTGCTGTAGGCAGTATCTCACCACGCCCTTCGTACATAATCCCAGCAGTTCAGGGCCCTGGAGATCCCTAAAGCGTGTGTACATTGTCTGCATTGTAGCAACCAAATACGCTACAGATGGGGCCCGCAGTTAAGACAAATTCAGCGAAGAAATAAAGGCTCAAATTTTTACGCAAGATAAGAAAAAAAAGGCCTAAGAAACACAGCTCAATCTCGGCCACAACACAAGAAACGATACCCCAAGACAACAGAAACGAGTGGCAGAAGCTGGGGGAGCGTATCCAAAGAAACGTTCCATTGCTGCTGCTGCTGCCATGCTCCCACCCCCTACCTAGCTCATGTCATGTAAGTTTTTGGTAGGGGCAGAGATTGGTTATTTTCGCGGCGCCCCCCGCGCCCCAGCGCCACCGTTAGCTGCGCTATCCCTACTGCTGCTGTACTCCTGTACTGCCACAACCCCCAATGTTCGCCACACCAAGCTATCGGTTTAATGCTGCATGAAGACTTGGTGTGTTGTTGTTTCTTCGCCATTAGAAATAAGAAAATAAGAGAATCAGGAAGGAGGATGCGACATCCCAAAGGAATAAGAAATCCGTTTTAAGAAATTGGCCGACTTCGGCTGGTCCTGCTGCCCAGATTAAGAAATTGAGGCTCGGCCCGATTTTGACGTTTCTTATCTACGGGCCCTACAAGGATCTGTTTTTTTTTTACCCACCGCTGTTGAATCCTTAGCCGATGTGTGACACGCATGAGGAACCAGTGAGATCCACGCCTATGCATAGAAGCAATAGCATTTACTAGTCTCGCATCTACGCCTACGATACATAAAAGGGTTCCATTTGGCCTGCTATGCGTACTTACTGCTGTCCTACTTTGAGCTATTGATGCCACCACGCCGCCACCACAACAACGCTGCTGTAAACACTAAATACAACCCCCGCACGTGATAATGCAGCATGACTTCCTTCACGTGCCGAGATAGCAAAAAAAAAGGTAGCTGACTTCTTGCTTCAACAGCAACAGTCTTGCTTCAACAGCAACGGAGGTCCACGTGTAGTCCACGTAGACACTATGACCATTCAGACTATAGAGTAGATCGCATATGCATTACATACGTCGCGGGGGCAAAATTTGGTCTGTTCCATAAAATGACAAGACCAAAACAATACAATTCCAAAAAACAAAGTGAACCTGTTGCGCTGTCTGCCCCTGCCCTTACTCTGCAATAGCGCCATCGAGAGAGATACACATGTACTGTACTGGCGGCATTTTTTGGAGAAGTCTAGAGACCATGTTGGGCACTGCTACTGCTGTTGTATCGCTGCTGTGCTGTGAGAGGGACCACAGCAGGGTAGGGCGGCTATATATTCTCTCTTTGGTCCGAGAGGTATCTCTCATCCACGTGTACTGCCTTGTATCCAAACACGCACGACATGTGAGGGGATGCGCTCTGCCTCCACGTTACAGCAGCAGTACAGCACCCTTTTCAAGAGGTACAGCAATAAATGTGTCCTGCTGCTACTGCTTTGCCCGCGGTTTGGGCCGGCAAATTGTTGCGGTGTAATACTGACTGGAGTGGCGGTGCGATGACGGAAAGAGATTTGTCGGAGATGTCATCACCAAACAGACTGCTGCTGCTGTTGCTGTGCAACGTATGCAATACATGCGGTGGTTCAAGTGAAACCCGGAAGGAAGGAAGGGATTGTAGCATACGTATGCACAGCGGCTGCACAGACGACGACAGTCGGCATCTATGGAGACACCCCCAACACCCACACCAACAGCACACCAACACCCCACAGCAGCAGCTGTTCGTAGCTCAGTTCTTGTAGAGCAGCAGCACAGCACATCCCCACTCGCGGATCAAAAAAGGGCCGAAGAGAAAAAGGACCGCCGGGGAGAAAATAAAGAGAGAGAGTCGGTCGTACTTTAAAATAATACACACATTCCCGACAAATTCCTATTACGGACGGCCGCAAAAACGTGTTGTGTTGCTGTTGATCACCCACCCCACTGCTGTGCGCGCCACCAGCACCGACTCAGCAAAAAAAGCAACATGGCAATGTGTAGACTTGGCTTGTCCCGGTGGTAACTCTCGAGCGCGGGGGGTGACGATTTTCGAGGGAAGAAGAAAAATGTATCCGAAACCATCATCGCCACGAAGGATCCCAGGATCCAGTCAGCGCTAGAACACGACCGTGAGGCAACGTACGCAGCAGCAGCGGCAGAGCAAGCGTCTTTAAACTTGGTAACACCAGCACACCAAAGCTTACGAAACACGCATTACCTGCTTCTTGAGCTCCTCCACAAAGGCCTTCTTCCTCAGCCGCGTGTTCCTCGCGTGCTCCCTGTTCCTGTCCCTGTTCTGCTTGGCCCGCTCCTCCTTCGACAGAACCGCCCGTTTCCTTTTCTTCTCCGCTGCTTCCGCGGCCGACGTACCTCCCCCGCCTCCCCCCCCGCCGCCACCGCCGCCGCTCCTGGCTCCTCCCCGTCCGTGCACCATGGCCTCCGCTCTAGCCTGCGCTTCGGCCACCACCGGGTGTGTGCCCACGCCGAAAATCCTTCCGAGCCCGCGGACGCCTTGTTGCTGTTGTTGTTGCTGCAGCTGCTGCTGCTCCTGGTCCCGCTCTTGTTGCTGTCGTTGCTTTTTTCTGGCTCCGGTCCGGCTGCGCCGGCTCCCACCGCCGCTCTTCCTGCTGCCCTGCTGCTGCTCCTGCTGCTGCTGCTGCTGCTCGTACTGGTGGTTGTACTCGGCTTCGTCATCATCGGAATCGTCGTCGTGATCCTCCTCCTCCTCCTCCTCCTCCTCCTCCTCCTCCATGAGCTCCATCTTGCAAGGCTCGCTGGATGATGCAGCACCAGCAGCAGCGCCACTTCTACGCAATCCACGGCTGTTGTTGCTGTCACCCCCAGCGCTCTCCGCCCCGCTCCCACCGCCCTCCGGAAGCATGCCAGCTTCTCCCAGGAAAGACTGCATGCTTCCGCCCAGCCCCGTCATGGAACCGATCCCGGGAGGAGCCCTGGCCGCGCCCGCAGCGCCAGAGCCGGGGCTAATACCGGCGCTTTGCGAGCCTTGTATCTGCTAGCATAAGATCGATCATGTGTGGCGGCGGGTTGAAAAAAAAACGAAGGCGCGATGGATCACCACGTTTCATGCGCTGGAATTTTTTGGTCTACAAGTATAATCTTTTTTGGGTCTCTCTCTCTCTCTCTCTCTCTCTCTCTCTCTCTCCGTGAAGATGAGAGACGCTACTGGGAAGCGCGCTGCGAGAGGCGTTGCCGACTGAGGCGTGTGCTCTGCGCTCGGTGCGTTGCTGTCGGCGTCAAGCAGCGGCCGAAAGGGAGGCGTGACGATAGTTGCTGCCCCTCCTCCCTTTGGGAACGGGAATAACGATGTCGACGAAAGTCGTGTGAAATTTGTTTGCGGCGGCAGCTGCTGAACTCACGCGATACAAGAGCGCGAACCCAAAAACCGGAGGCCGCCAACGAGGAGAAATGAAGCCAACAGCGACGCCCGCGTGACCCGCAGTCACTCTAGACGCGGGGGGCATAGGCAGCTGTGTGCCCGCTGTCCATTGCTACGAGGGACCGCCGTCGATTGAGGGCTAGACCAAATTTGCTCCACAACAACAACCAACCTTCAACTAACCGGAGGGCGTGAACAGCCAGGAATCTAAACCTCCACGCAACAACAAAACGGCGAGTTGGAGGACCGCGGATGCACGCACGTAAACCCAGGCGTACGTGCAGCAGCAGCAGCAGCATAGCGCCACGCCCTTGCGACTAACCTGTCCCCCTCCTAGCTCGCCCCACGCCTCGAACCCAGCGAGGAACACGTCTTCCACGCCTCCTCCCGAGAATTCTCCATCGCCTCCACCGTTCATAGACTCTCGCTTTTTTGCCGACCTTCTTCGGCCAAACCAAGCCACACGCGTTGTTGGTCAGCAGCACCACCTCTCTCCCGTGTTTAGCCACACCAGCCCCGTGGTGATGTATGTATGCCTCGTGTGTGTGTGTGTTGCTGTGATCACTCTGCGCGATGTGCCAGATGTGTGTTGTTGTGGACGTCACCCCGCTGTTTTCATTTTTTTCATTAACCAAAAAGCCATCAATCGGAGGTGGCGCAGCGTCTGAGCTGGTGCCAACGTATGTTGTTGTTGTGATGTGGCACACTTTCATGCTAAATTGGAGGTAGCCGCGTGGTCGTTGAGATAATTCCGAATAGCCCGGGCCGCTCGTCCCCAGTTGAACCAATAACCTTCCAACTTCAACCGCAGGGAAAATTGTTTTCGGCAAACGGAAGAAGAAGTAGCGGGGCGCACGCTTGTGCATGGTGGATGCTCTCGACTCACCCGCTAACAACATCCCCAATGATCTAGTCTGTCGGCGTATTCCGTTGGTAGCAGCACATTTGCTAGCAGCAAACCAAAACGTACTTTTCGTGAAAAAAAAAAATGTTGCACTGAAGGGTTCTTGCGTTCTTGCATGCGAACGCACATTATCCGATGCTGTAACCTCTTCTTCTTGTATGCTCGTCATCTCGGTGCCGTCATCGCCATCGTGCCTCGCCGTTGTGGTTTGCGTGTGATCATGCGTGATGTGAGGCAATCAATAGTGCGGCCATGCATCATCATGTGGTTGGACGCAAACAGCAATCAGTTCCTGAATGTGCTTGCTCGCTCGGCGCGTTTTGGTGTTTTGGTCGTTCATCTTTTCATGTAGTAATATGCGCTCCCTCTCTCTCGCGTCCACACCATCTCCTGTCTGGCTCGTTCATCGTGGAAGGCGAAGATTGCCAGCAAAACACACCAACGAGTTCGTGTGAAACACGCGCAGACGCGACCGACGTGCATGAGCACCACTCGACACTCTATCGCAGCTTTCCTACAATATGGTTTCCGACTTTGCTGCTTTCATGAGTGAGTCTTTATTTGCATGTGACTCTTCTTGCAAATCACTCACGGACTACTGGTGGTCGTTGTCGGACCCCTATGTGCAAGGCTTCTAATAGCTGTGGCGGGCGGCCATGCAAAGCAATGCAACGCAGAAGACAACAAAGGACAACGGATGCACCGAGCTAGTTGGTGCACACACGCCCGGGCCTCCGGGTTACCGACCGCAGTCCCACGAAAAAACACATCTCTTGGCTGCTTAAAAACGAAGTGACGTGATTACTTTCACACAGGAAACTTGTGCGCGTATGGTATCCATGTACTCCCACGTCATTTCTGTCCACCAGGTTCATCACGCGTCAGCGTTTTTATTAGAAAGTCAACATAATCCTCACAAAAAAACTGTTGTCTCGTTTCAGATACAACCACAGCAGCAGTCGAAAAGGATGTTGTGGCGATGTTCGGGGTCCGGTCATCTTGCTGATTGATTGTTCCAAGTGTGCATGCACCTTTTTTTGTGCTTTTTTTTTGTGTGGGGGGAAGTTGGCCTAGACTATAGCACGGGAGGAAGGGGACTGCGGTCAGTTGGACCGGTGCGGACGTATAAGTGCACTGATTTGAGCAGACACCGCAACCGAAAACTTACTGTAAAAGAAAGATGGCACGAACAATGTTGGGTAAATGCCGCCCACGCAACCGGTAAAAAACGTGGCGGGGGACGACCCGATACAAACAATAAAACAGAATCGATTTTGTTCTTTTCAAAGTCTGAATTGGTGCCGAGGAGGTGCCCACAAAAGTCACAAAAACTGGAGTTAGTTGTTGGTTAGCACAACTTGCACCATTACGGAGAGAGCGAGCCCCCGCTACCAACACTGAACGCAACTTTGAGCAAGATTCGGGAAACGTCTCTCCAACCCCCCCCCCCCCCCCCCTCCCTCCCTCTGTCCTCGCGCGCATGCGCCGGCTCCTGCC